AAATAATAGATTTGGAGATGTGGATTTAGATCACCATTTTTGTCAAGTTTTTCTCACTTGTGATGGGTCTTCCTCTAAAAACAAAGTCAGACACTGCACGGAGTCCATCAGTACAGTCTAAAACCCAAACATGAAAGTAAAAAATTATCCTAATCTATTGATGTACCTCATAGACTTTTTCTTAATTTTAGGAAGGAATAGCTCATACAGTAAAGAAACATGTATCTGAAGTTCAGCAATTCTCTGAGTTTCGTGTCAGTTTCTTCCATTAGATTACTTCAAGTATTTTTTGAGACGCATATAATCTTGTTTCATAAAAGCTGTTTTTGTTGCCAACCCAGTCCTCTAGCTTCACGTTACATGGTATGGAGATACTGGGCAATATTCAGCAAAATACTAACACTGATTAACTGTAGGTGGTAGGACTTTGGGTGATTTGCGGCTTTGATTTGAACCTTTCTTTGTACAAATGGAAATTTTCATAATGTGCATGTATCACTTTTAGAGAAAAATAAAGCCATCATTCTCTCCTCAAACTTTGGAATATTCCCTTATAAAGACTCTCTTGAAAATAATCATACACTGTGACAAAGTAGAGTTTTATTTTGCAATGGAGTAGTAACTACCCATATTTGGTATATTATCTGCATAATGAGTTTTCTTTCATTAAAAAAAAAAAAATCCCCAGATCCCCAGCTAAGCCAGTTTCCCCACTGGATCTCATTACAATCTGCAGAGAGGGAGTGTGCAAGTGTAATGCTTATGTTGTAATATTTGTACAGTATTCTAATGAGATTGAGCCCAAATAGAAGGTATTTGATAAAAGGTGGTAATGATCTGCCTTTATGTATGTATTATCTTTACCAAATGCCATTTTCAAAATACAAGCATTTCTTTCAATTACTGTAGCTAAAACAGATATTTTTTTCTGTGTATTCTGGGATGCTTGGCTGTTCTGAACTAGCATCTTTCAGAATGGACCACCATGAATAGCATTTCCCCAGAACACTGCAGACCAGCATAAAATATTTTATTTTATAAAAAAACAGAAACACTTTTAGTGTTTCACCCTTCATTAATATTTTACATGCTGGGAAAGCTTTAATTACAGAATGCTGCCACACAGAGTCAAGTGGCAGTTGAGCAGGAGCCCCAAACAGGTGACAAGTATCAACCCCACTGTATTACCAAGCATCCTGCCAGATGCATTTGTTGAGTACAATGATATCTGGGAAAAATTATCTTTAGAGCACGAATGGAATAATATGGATGAAGGATTTTGCTCAAACTTTATTCCCCTGCCATAGTACCATTTGGATTTAGGCAGTATAGTAAAGTCATTAAAAGCACAGGTTTCAGAATCAGACTGCCTTGTGTTTGGGACCCAGTTAAGCCCAAGGGCAAGCCCAAGCCCTCTCTGCCTCAAAACCCTCAGTTTCTTCCTCTGTAAAATGGGAGTCATACATGTAACAAGCATTTAGGATAGTTACTGGGACATAGCTAATATTTACAGAGAAATGTGGATGATGAGTTGATGATGATGGTGAGGATTACCATAATAGCATAAATTGGTCAAGATCACTGAAATTTTGCTGTCTGTAAAGGGAGAAACTATGTGAAAATATCTCAGCAGGAGTACATGAAAGTTTACTCTATAACTCAGCATGAGAAAAAGAGGTGGAGTGCTGTCACGGGAAGAGTTCTGGATTTGAAGCAGTCACCTTTTCACCACTCAATTCACCACTTATCAAAAAACCTTGGATAAATCACTTATCCTCTTTGAGCCTCATGATGTCCAAGAGTAAACTGAAAGTTCAAATGAGAAGATATGTGGCAAATGAAAACTATGTAAATGTGATGAGTTACTAGGCCCACAAAATCACCATCACCTACATAATTCATATTCTTAGAAAAACCACTGAGGAAAAAGCCATCTACCATTGAGGCAGATGGCAGAGCAGTGAGAAGCGAGGGGATCTGTGGTCAGATAGCCTAGGCCCGAATCTAGTCTCTTCTGCCATTACCAGCCATGTGCCTTGGTGGACGCCTTAGCTCATCACCTATAAGATGAGACGATAATGAAACTTACACATCATAGGATTTGTGAGGATTAAGTGCAATGATCCAAGTAAAGCATTCAGTAAAAGTGCCCGATAAATATTCGTATTGTTGTGATCTGTAAGATTACTATCTACAGAGCTGTTTTATTAGGCGATTGTTTTATTCTCCTTTCACTTTCACTGAGCTGGGTGGGCTTTGTTTTATTAACCAATATAGGGGTAGTTGTATCATGTTTTTTAATTGGAAGCAAAATCTTTGTAATGTATACATTAATGTACTAATGTACTGTAATGTATATAGTCATGTATACATTTTATAATCTATTACAAAGTCTTTGTACTAGCATAATGTGAACTTTTTAGTCTCCTTAAATGTTCTTGTCTCTAGCTGAAATCATGCATATTAATAAAGTAAATATAAGGTTCCTTTTGCATGTGTACTGCAGTTCTTATGACAACTGTATTAGTTTCAGTAGAGTCTTCATGAAATGTTCAATGGGCTGCAATTTCTCCACGGAATGTTTAAGAATATGTAAAAAACCTGAAGCTCACTTCCTTTATTTCTTTTCATAAGCAACACTTTCACCCATAATACTTGTGGAGGACCTTCTCAACAATGTTACACTGCCTCCTGCAACGGTAATTCACAGATGCTCCTGGATCACACCCATTTCATCATTTGTATACTCGACCCTGCTCTGCAGGTCTATGGACTGGGCTCACTAAGAATCACTACGCACCAGTGACTTCAACCCTGATTATGTATTAAACTCACTTGAGGATCTTTTAAAAAATACTGATACTCGACCCAATTGAATCAGAACCCCTAGGGGTGGGCATCCTTTGTGTTTTTAAAAGCTCCCCAGATGATACTAATGTGTAGCCAGGGTTAAGAACTGTTTTTGATAATGAGGGAACTAAGAAGATGCATTGAAAATGCTAAACAAAAATCTTATTGTAGATTTAGTTTAAATGCAAAGTTCTCCTAGTGGAAAGAAAAAGGGATAATTCACTTCTTACTATTCCTCTTTCATGCCTATAAACCCACCCGCCCAGTTATCAGTCAATTTTCAAGATAATGGCTTTGTTCTATCTGACAAAAGGAAATCAATGGTACTGAAAACTACTAAAGGTCACGGAGTGTAAAAGACCTTCAACGATCTTGCATTAATCTTCACAAGTGGCCTTATATTGAAAATGAAAATGATTGTTTTCAATAGACAAATGATGACATTTGCGTTATTTTCTGATTATCAACAGCCATGTACCTTTTTAACCCCTGCAGTGAGAAGGTCAAGTGAGGAAAACCCACAGGACTGTAATGAAATAGTATCTTCTATCGTATACAAAGAAAAAAGAAAATCTGCCATGTTTTGGCATCTACTTTTGGTCAGAATAGAAGAAACCCATAATAGTCTAAAAGCCAACTTTTTTATGTCCTCGTGTTCAACTAAACTTGATATTATATCAATCTATAGTTGTTTAAGTGTGTATCAAATAAACCAGATGAGTTTAACGCATAAGAATGAAATGTCACCAAGAATTTTCACAACTGCCTTCTGTATAAAACATGCTATTTCATGTCATTGTCATCATTCTCTAAAATTATGCCCCTGAACTGCTGGAGATTTCTTACTTCCTAGCTTTTAAATTTATTAGGCCCATTTATTTACTTTTGACAGTTGTTATTTCCAATAGACCTACATAATTTGAACTCGACAATTCTGTTTTATGTCACCGCCACCCGAACCAACAAATAAGAGACAGCAAAAGTGTTCTTAATTCTGAGATTCGTGTTTACTTTTTCTTTGCTTAAAAAATTTACTGAAAAAAATCCTACAGGGGCTCTAAAGATGAAAAGCCATCCTATTCCTTCTGTGATATAACATGACAAGGGGAAGATGCCAGGTTTAAAAAAAAACAAAACACACCAGCTTCTGCTCCAGAGTATTTTTGGTCCCCTGAGGGACGCTGCAACCCTTCAGGTTAAGTCAAAAGCGCCTTCTCCAGAACCTTATTTGTTAAATATTAAAAGACACTTCATCTTACAAACACCAGAGTTTACAACACATAATTCATTCTTCCAAATTCTCTCTTTCTCCTCATAATCTCACACTGCGCAAGGTGAAGGAGAGAATCTTAATGTAACAAAGGAGATGGATGTGTGAAGTATGAGGCTGAATAAAAATGGCTGCAAAGCAATCCAAGCGAGGCTGGAGGGTGGCCACACCCAGTGCTAATATGGACTGTTTCAAAATAAATCTGTTATGCCAGAGGGTACTGGGCACTGCTTTTATTTCCCCTCTACTTCTTCCACAGATGCCCATTATTAATAAATAGTAGTTACAGGTTACTCCAATGACAGACAAAAAACCCTGAAATATTTCAAAGTGAACCATCCTAATATGTGGCTACGCCATCATATTTTCAGGATTTCGAGAGCCAGACTGCATTTCCAGGCTCCTTTGTGTGACCACAAATAACCACCCTGAAATGGGTGTGTCCCTCTTAAAAGGATGCACTAGAGCCCTCTCACTTAATGCTTCTACCAGGAGATTTCAACCTTTCTGCAGAAATTAAATGCAACGGGATTCATGGAACAATAAGAAAGCATTTCAACTCCGGGGAGGAGAACAGATTAAACAAGTACTGAATGATCAATGGATCCCGAAAGAGCTCCCCGAAGAGGCAACTGATGCATTATTTAAATTTCTAGCATTACAACAAGAAAACAAAGGGGTGGGGTGGATAAAAAAAAGAAAAAGAATGCAAACACCATCCATTTTGATTTTTGACATGACAAGTTTACTCCCCCCAACACAAAGCTCTTGGGTATAAAGCATGCATAGGTCCCACAGGTGAAATGATGCACAATGGCCGAGTCCGGATCCCGGGGTTCCCGTGCACCGCAGGCATGCACTACCGAAATAAAGAGAATACCCTGACTTTTCCAGTTGCTCCACACACAGTCCATCTTGGTGGAATCGGCAGTGGCCTGCATCGTGCGGGTTTTGGAGGTTCGCCGTTGCTCTCCTCGGGGGCGCGGAGCTGGCACTCAGGGTCTGCGCCCCGGCTGCAGCGGCAGGGCTCACCGTGGCCGCGCGGCTGCAGACTGCCTGAGGCTGCACCAGCCGGCGCGCGGCGAGGGGCGGGCGCGTCGCGGGCGCCGCAGTCTCCGCGGCAGTCAGCGCGGCGCGGCCCCGGGGCCGCCTGCGCGCACAGGGATGCGGGCGCCGCTCGATCGAAGGCGCGGGCTCGGCGTCCGTCCTGGGGGCCTGCCCTGGAGACGGCTGAGGCGGCTCTGACCCGGGAGGCACAAAAGCAGGCCAGGTGTGGGAGGCGTGGGAGAAGAGGAGGGGAAAAGGGCCAAGGGCGGGGATCAGAGTGCGGCACTCGGGCTGTTGCTGGGAGTTCCTGACACGGGGTGCATATTCTAGAAATGTCTTAGACACCCAAGAAACCTGTTGGGTAAGACGCAGTTGATGTCAGCACAGATGTCAGGCTTTCAGCATAATGCCCCCTAATTGTCCCCGTTGCTCATTCACCTCTCGCTTCCCCAATTCTTTACATTCCGGCCACGGTTTATTTTAATTGCCTGGCATCTTCCAAGCAATCGCCAGAGCTTTTCCTCTTTCTGGAATATTCCACGGCTATCCAAAACCTTTGTTGGCAAGCCACAATCAGTAAAGAAATCCTGCTGCTCAGTAGGTCTTGTGTATTGCTCCTGTTGCCCCTCTTCTCCAGCTCAGTTTGTGGTTTGAACGAATACATACCATTCGGAATGTGGTGCCTGTAGGCTCTGGTTCAAAGCCCTTGGACTTCCCCACATGGAGTTATTTGTCACTGCACTGATATTCCAAGAGAGGTCAGTTGTGGGGGCCCCAGACAGAAGCCAGGGAAGAAAAGGGCATTCTGCCTCAACAACATCATCTTTGGGCTTGAGTGTTGGGGGGAGATGGAGGTGTGCAGTGTGTATCATTTGGGAGATACAAAATTGGTTTCCAATCCCAGTGAATCAAGATTCAAGTCCCCAGTCACAATGCAGATGCCAATGGGAGGTGTCCTACTATTTAAACCTTACCATGAAATATTTCATCAGATTAAACACCAAGGCTTTGAGAGAATGGACAGGGGATAGGTACATTTTCATGAAGAAAAGAGAGATGGCATAGAGGAAGGCCTTGAATTTGGGCATTATCTGGGGAAAGACAGTCCTGGTGGAAGGAACCCTTGAGGAGACAAAACATAACATGGGGACAGAGGGCACCTTGGGAACCACAGGGGCATACAGAAGGAAGAGTTCCCATTTTATTTGTTGTGGCATGGCATTATCCAGGACACAGGATTCCTCTCTCTCCCTTGAGGACAAATGGAGCCTTCACGATTCTTCCACAGCTCCCAGAGACGTTCCTTGCCAGACCCAAATCTACATTTGCACATCCTGTACCAGCGAGGACTTAAAGACAGGAGTCTCAAGGTTATGCTGTAGATATGATTTATCTTTCATTTTATGAAGATTATACACTTTAAAATGGGATCTTTGAGATGATGTGTATTCTTTTTAGGATGCGAGCTTCCAGAGAAACCAAGCCTCTCTCCGTATCTCTGTAACCTAACTGAAACTACTCATGAAGCTTAATAAGAATGAGATTGGGAGGATGATTTGGCACTCCTGGGCAGCTGAAGTCTCCTACAAGAGGAGGAGTGTCAGGGCTACCACGGAGCTTACAGGAAGGAAAAAAGTTATTACAAAGCACTTTTCAAATTGACCTGCTCCAGTGATAGTGGTGACTTTGTAATATTTCTATTTCCATGCCCCCTCCCAATTTTTTTTTTTCAACATCACGGTCATGTTTGGGAATTCAGTCTGCAAAACACTGAAAAGGCAGGTACTGGATGATTTGACCAGCAGTGAATGCTCACTGTATGAGGCAAGGCCGGACGAACTAAAAACAGGTGGGGGGACAAGACTCAGAGGAAGGAGAAGAAAGGGGTTGCCATTGTGGGCTGCTGCCACACTGGCCACTTTTCTGTTGGAACCCTTTGGAGCCTTGGCCACTAGGAGGCACTGCCAGTCCAATGATAGCCCCAGTCTTCAGACCTAAGTCCAGAAGGTGCCCCCCACCAGTTACCTTTAGTGGCGAGTATTAAGTGTCCACTGAGTTACCAGAGCCACTGTTCATTGGTAATCTGACAGTACGGTTCAGCAAGCTGAGGGCAGCAACATCCCTGGTGAGGGAAAGCAGGCAGAGGCAAGCTCTCCCTCAAGTGAAGGGGAGGGTGTCAGACTTCTTGGGCCATGGGTTTCCATTGGCTACAGAGTTGACCTTGGAATGTCAGCTTAGCTGAAAGACCACATTGTGTTTAGTCATGCTGAATCTGAAGACGGAAGCTTGATGACACCCAAAAAATCAAGATAGCAGTTTGACAGCTGAAGGCTGGGGTGAGGCATCTGATGCCACAGAGATACACACAAATGAAATAAGAATTGAGGGGCAGAGGTAGTAGGTGAAACAGGAATGAACTTATTAAAGAAAAGTCAGGCAGAAAAGTATGAAGAACTTGATTGAGAATTGGAGGATGTGGGCATTAGTCCCACTTATGTTGCAAAAGTTAGTTATGTGGCCTTCGGCAAGGTATCACCTTTATCACTTTCTGACCTTCCTCTCATACAGATGAATTACAGCTTTAGATCTTTGTTTTTGTGAAATAATAATTTATTTCTTGTAGACACTGTAAGTGGGTACTTCCTTTGCACAAGTACCCACACAGTATGAATTGGAAGCTCTTGCCAAGATCAAAATGATAAAATGGGTAGAAACGATATGTAAATTTTCCTTGAGGGGTGAAAGAAAACAGAAAGCAAAATCAAGCTTGCTAAATGCGGGCAGGAACGGCCACTGTCTTTAAACCAGGAGAGAACAGACGGGCTTTGTACACAGCCAGCTCAGAACTTGGTTTAGGTGCCTGCCAGGAGAGGAAGTGATTTCTTTAGTGTTCAGGATGAAATCATGCTGTAGGCATTCAGTTCTAAGGAAAAGCAAAACAGTCAAGTTTTGAAATCGCATCCCAGATCAAGAGACGTGTTGAAGACTACAATGCTCAGAATGGCTGCATGGTGTCTGTTTTTGTAGCCCTAGGACTTTACCGATGAGAATCAGTGGCACCTACGCTGATACATTTATTCGATAAATATTATTCAGCACCTATTGTATTCCAGACACTGTTCTAGGCATAAAGCAAAACTGCTACTTTTAAGAAGTTTATATGCTACTACGTGTGGGATGGGCAGCTAATAATAAAAGAGGTAAACATATATTTCACTTGTGGACAAGTGTACAGAGGGAAATAAAGCAGGTAAAGGGGATCGAGAATGGGAGTGGGGTAGAAGTTTTCTATTTTATGAGGGGAGTTAGCAAAGGCCTACCTCATAAGGTAAAATTAGAGCAGACACTAAATGAGAGAGAAGGAGAAAGCCGTTAAGCTATATGGGAGAGTAGCATTTATAAATGCACTTGAGTTTTCAGGACAGAATGTAATAGCTGGTAAACTATATGAAGCTCATAGAACTCCTTGTATAGTGTGTGTGTGTGTGTGTGTGTGTGTGTGTGTGTGTGTGTGTGTGTTTAATGCTTTGAGAAGTATAGCAACTGGAAGGAAAGGCACAAAACCAAAAAAGTACTGCATTATGATCAAAGAACACTAAGAACTCTGCTTTATGCCATATGGAATAAGGAAATTTAAAGTAACAACCAATTTGGTACATAACCCACGGTACCAAAATAATGCATGAATTGCATTCAATTCAAACAACAGATTAGCACTTGTTATTTGCCAGGTGCTTTCTCATATGGTATATATTTAGTTGTTACAGGACCCCTAAGAGGTAGATAGTGTTTACATTCATTTTCTTGATTCATTCATTCATCCAATCTCCAAACAGTTACACAGTCCATACTAAGTGCCTGTCATTGTAAATACAAAGAGAGCTACCCACTAGAAACTTAAGTTTAGTAGGGGGAGATTTACACATAAATAGGTAAATGCAATCAACTGATAGATGTATGAGCAGGAAAGAGTGGATACACAGTGACTGGGGGAAGAAGAGGTTTCAGGAAAAGCTTCAGAGAATAGATGATAATTAGGTTGAGTTATGAAAAAAAGAGGATCACCAGTTTGAGCAGACAGATATGGAAACTTAATCATGGACAGGTGCAAGGGACAGTGAGACAGACTCAAGGAATGATACTGTCAGAAAATGAAGGAAACATTGCAGAGTTTCAAGGGGAGGAATAACACCTTGAGAAGTTGAATAATTTATCCAAATTTGGCTTAAGATTTCCCAGAATTGATAAAAGCCACACATTATAGCACTGAGCAAGACAAGAAAAAATCGATATCCTGACCCACATCATAGTGAAACTGCAGGGCATCAAAGACAAGAGAAAATCCTAAAAGCAGGCATAAGTAAAAGATACATTGCCTCAGAGAAACTGTTGGGCCAGCTGCAGTCTGTTAATTAACTGAAGCCAGAAGACAATGGAATAATGTCCTCAAAGGAGTGGGGGGAAAATAACTGTCATCTAGAATTTTGTACCCAGCAAGACTACTACAGGCATTTTCAACTATGTAAGAAATGAATTTCCCAACTGCAAGCCCTGCAGAAAAAGCTACCAACGTTCATACTTCTGGAAGAAGAAAACTGAACTTAGAAGAAGCGAAATGCATGAAAGAATGCTACGTGTAAAAACTGGTAATGGCTAATTTGGGGGTTTATAAAAGAAAGGTGAAATTAAAGTAGTAGACAAAAAATAGAACATAAGGTAGGAAGGAGTGATGAAAGTGAAAGCATCCTGACTTTCTAGTACTGTTCAGGAGGACAGTAGAGATCTTTAATTTTCTTTGAGACCTTAATTTTAGACTATGAAAAGTCAAATTTGTGTGTTAAATATTTAAGGGTCACCACTAGAAATAACTAAAACATATAACTACTAAATGAGT